TCTAATAAACTGCTCTTCCTTACACTTTGTTCTCTTTTTTTCTCCTACACACCGGTGCAGCCTTATTTTCTTCCTGATTGCTACTAGTATTCCAACTGGTCCAGTAAATTAGACAGATAATATCTTAACTGGTATCCTGGAGATGACAGTAGTAAGAGGAATCCTATTTCTGATGTTGAGGGGAGAGTGCTGGAATAAAGCTGGAGAGGTGAGCTCCTCATTAGGGTCTACTAGAAGAAAAGAAGAGGAAACTGGATTTATACCGGACCATTCACTACCCGAAGGAGTCTCAGAGTGGCTTACAATCCATTTCCCTTCCCCTCCCCACAACAGACACCCTGTGAGGTAGGTGGGGCTGAGAGAGCTCTCTTGAGAACTGCCTTTGAGAGAACAGCTCTGAAAGAACTTGTGTCTGACCCAAGGTCACACCAGCAGCTGCATGTGGAGGAGTGGGGAATCAATCCCAGTTCTCCCAGATTAGATCACACTCTTAACCACTACACCAAACTGGTTCTCCTTGACCAGCTATTTAAATACCACTTCCCCATGGTCGAATGACCAGCCTCCAGGGCTCCTTTTGCCACATGCAGCAAGAGCTACATTGCTCTGGCTCCATCTTGTACAAACATAGAAGACACTCTACTTCAATGATGAGAAATCTGAAGACAGGGCACTTGCACAAACAGCCAAGCCTGATAGCAATAATGGGTACAGCATATTACAGCCACAGCAGAACTCCAGATACAAAACTCCCAGTAGGTATCTCCACTCCTCCAGTTTGGATGCAACTGACAATGTGCACCATACAGGTAAACAAGGGATGCCATTCCTCAAAATCTGACTGCTGCAAACATCTCCTACGCACGCACACCTGTATTTTGTGATCACTACATATTGGCATTAACAATCTTTCTCCACTCAACAGCTCAACAACTATGTCTTCTGTAGAGGTCACAAGGTCACATACAGTGCTGCTAGCCATGAAACATCACATGCAGCTAAGTTCATACTGTAGACCAGTGAAGGCAATGGGGAGCATCTCTCTTGGGGTACCACTGGGTACCTTAATGCTAGCTATAAGCTAGCTATAAGCAACAGAATGAATTCTAGGCAGGGTTCCCATACAGTCCTCTCCAGGGGCTATCTAAGCCTTTCAACTACATTTCCTTCCCCCAAATGGTGACTCTTCAAGTGCAGACATTAGACACAACTGTGGGACTGTTTGTTCCAGGAAAATCAGACATTTCTCTGAAGCTTATTAGGGATTCATCAATGAGAGGACTGGTAATAGCAGACAATCTACCCTGAAAGAGAAGTTGTGTGCTGTTAGTGACCTGCCCTTGCAAACGGTGGCTGCTCTGCATTTGTACAAACACATCCCAGCCATCCAGTAACCAGCACAACACGTGAACTATGTGATCTGGAACACTCCCCTGAGATCTCTGCAGCACTCAGGGTTTCCTTGACAGATAAATCTACGTGGAGGTAGAAGAAAACCAGAAAACTGCTCCTGAATACTGTTAGTGACAGTACAGCTGCTGAAACAGTCACTGCTGGCAGTGGCTTCACACACACACACACACACCAGCGCATTACAATATAGAATTCCCTCTTCTGAGAGCTGCAACTGAAGCCAATAGACCTGCTGCCCAAAATCCATAGTGATGATTGGGATTTGAACTCAGGCCCATGTCTCATAGACTTCCCACCCAAGCATGCCAGGCCTAAATGGGCATGGTCAATGAAAACTTGTTCTGTGCTCCACTGCCAGCTGAGATGTGGCAGGCCGGCATGTTGCATAAGACCTTTTTGGCAGTGATGTCCTTCCCTATCTGCTGTTTTCAAGACACTGTTACTTCAGCATGCCTTTGACTGGGGTGATACATGACCAGTGTTTCTCTTCTGTGCATTTAGATGCTTTCTGCTGATTTTGGATCTCACTGATGTGCCGCTTGTTGGTTTTGGTTGTCAAATTAGCTGATTTTTAGAATTCATGGAAAGTCTGCGGATTGTTTTTGGCTAATTTATTATGCATTGTAAGGTCCCATGTATAGATGAAATACCAGAGTTAGTTAATTTCAACAGACTGTTCTGAGATAATACTCAATGATACCCAACACAACAAAAGAACTTCCTCACCCCTAATTAACCAGCAATTCTTTTCCTCATGAAGACTTCACATTAATGCCCCAATGATGTAAACATACCCAAGGAAGAAAGCAAGGGGGAAACAAACAGGAAAATGATCTGTAGGCCTTCTCAAAAACTAGTTAGACCCCCCCCCCATCCAGATGCCAAAGATATCCCTCTGCATCTTCAGTGCTGAAGATACAGGAGAGCGCTCGGCATTTTTCAAAAATCAGGTCATCTATTTTGAGTTGATATATATTTTCCAAAAAAGCTTTAAACCCACAAAACAAAATAAAAACTAGTTTACAGACACAAATTCCAGGGCCCACAGTTTGATCTTAGTTCCGTGGCAGGGACAGCCTCTTTTTTAAAAATGTTTTTTTCCTTGACTGACTTTCAACTTGCTTCAGCTACTTCTGCAACGCTCCAGTAACCTTTTCAGAGCGACAACAACTCATCAAAATCCATCCAAATAAATTACTGAAACAGGAGTGTTAAATAGCAGGAAGACAGATGCCTTCATTATCCTGATGAAAAAGGTTAAAGGAGCACAGGGACAAAACTCCAATTAAAATGCTGGCCTTTCCCTTTTCTACTGCAGTTCCTAGTCACAATAACAGAGCAAAACAGCCCGAGATTTTCAGCCCAGCAGGAGTGAAAAACACTCTGCAGCAGGCATCCAGGAGCTGCAGGCTCTCAAAAACAACCTAAATCGGAATAATGCAATTCTTTTAAAAATCTTCTGAATGCAAGGATGGTGCTGCAGTTTCCACAACTGCCCATTGCTCGCTATGTAAAAATAGCTGGAATTGCCAAAAAGAAAAGCGATCTCCCCGCAGATGTTGCCTCTCAGGAGCCAAACACAGGGGAAAACAACTTGGCTCCTTTGCTTCCTCCGCAATCTGCTTGTTCATACAGCAACTAGAAGAATTTCTTACCTGAGCTGAGAGAGAAACGAGGCATCCACACACAGGACATCAGGGGGCTCTTCGGGCAATCAGCAGACCTCCCAGGACTAGTGTGCATCATGTGCACAAGCAAGCATTTTATTTGGAGACCGTTTAGCGCAAACTCTTCTGGGTTCTCACAGCAAGGCAGCCCGGCAAGTCAATTACATGCAGTATTGATAAAATGGTCCAGGGTGCCAACTTGGCAAGAATTCTTCAGTGCTTCCTTCCGGCACCAGCTGCTCTCTTCGACCAAGCCACTGGCTGCTCATCTGCAGCCCCCAAACTTCATGCTCTGCCTTGTTTTTTCAAAAAAACTTCAAGGCACCTGCAAGAAGCAAACTGGACAACCTAAAACCCCCCTGGTGGCTCACAAGACACAGGGCCTTTGCTCCACTGTCAGCAGATAATGCATGACTGGTGAACTTTCTCTTGCTTAACCACTTCACTGCTGCTAGAGAGCTAGGGAGCACTTCTACATCCACAATGATAACAGAGGAACAGAATACAGCCCTCCTAGCACAGGTTTCCTATTTTGTCTAGCAGCAGCTCTCCAGGGTCCCAGGTGGAGTCCTGCTACCTGAGAGCCTTTTAATGGAAGATGCCAAAGACTGAACCCGGGACTTCTGCATAAGAACATGGAGTTGCTGGAAACTGAAGATATGATCCCACACATACTTCAGTAACTCTACCACTAAGCCACATCCCCTTCCAATTTTTTTTCTTAAGAAGGAATTACCCTCTTTGACCCAGCCAGTTACATGGTCTTGCCTGTTGCAGGACGCCGTGTTATCAACAAGCAAAGCTAAAAATCACATTCAAATCTCTGTATAATACGAACTATCTCTACATTTCCACATTCACTTACCAGAGTGGGTCTGAAAAGCACTCACGTCCTATATTCTTCTGTGCATAACAGACCCTGAATCTCCTGAAGGGTAGGACTGGTTTAGAAATTATTTACTCAAAGGAAAACATGAACCCCAATGCAAAGGGGAAGAGTGGTCCAGAAAAGATGTGCAGAAGCAGCTGAGGGTGGATGAACCCAAACAAGGAGACAAGTCTGTCCTTATCTCAAGCCTGTGGTTATGACCCATGGAGGGACTCAACCAGGGATATGAGAGATATGGCTCCTTAGAGGCCCTGCTGCTGGAGATCACGGACTGTTTCATTTTAAAATTGCAGCTACAAGGGATATGAACCCTGGACCATCTTCTGCATGCTGACTGTTTCATTTTAAAATTGCAGATATGAACCCTGGACCATCTTCTGCATGCAAACTATACACTCTACCATTCAGCTGTAATCGCTCTCCGTTGGCGGGGAGAGGGAAATTTGTAATAAGGATGCCAACTGATTAGTAGAGGAAATACCTAATCTGCTCCTGCGCTTTTAACAGTAGCTCGGTCTGCAGAATTAGCAAGTGATTCTCTCTCCGCACACGCACGCCCCGCGCCTTGGGATGGAGATGAACACGATCGACCTGCTAAAGTCTGCAAACATTTGCTAGTAACGGCACAAGCACAGAGGGCAGTTGAAAATTTGGCAAGATGCATCATGGTCCTCCTACGTATATTTGCTTAATGGAAAATCCGTCTGAGCACAATGGGTTTACCCCTAAGTAGGATGCAATTGCGGGTGTGGCCCCCGCCCCGTTCCGAACAAATGACCCGTCCTTAGCAGAGGCCGTTCCAGAACGCCGAAAGTTCCGCAGGACACAATGCCCGCTTTGATTTCACAAGGCTCCTTCTCCGGAGCTGCAAAACCTCCCACCTCAAACAGGCTAACTACTTGCAGCATAACCGAGCACAGGCTGCCGGCAGCTTTTCAGCCGATGGATTCTGGGAGTTGTAGTTTTCTATTGAAGAGCTCTTTCCTCTCCCGGCTACGGGAACTGCATTTCCCAGCACCCTTGCTGCTACTCCTGCTTCTTACAGCTGAGGTCAATCCTGCGCTTGAGTGTGTAAATAGAGGTGAGTGTGAGGCGATCTTATGGCAGGCGTGCAAGAAGGTTACGGGTTGGAGAGCCTGTTCCTTTTATATAGGAGCTCGACTGCCCAAGGGTTTCCAAATGCGTGTTCTTGCTGGGCCGTTTATTTTAGGTCAAGAGTTAGGTAACGAGGCTATTAATTTTCCACGCAAGGGGAGCCCCGAATTTAAATCAGGGCGCTTCTTCGTTAGCCTTACCTTATAACATGCTTGCATAGTTCGAAGACGATGTTTAAAGTTTTGTTTGCTTGCTTTAAAGAGTGGTTAACGTTCTTAAAATCAGTGATAGCTTCCGTCTTGAAATACAGGGATTCACATTGAAATCCTGTGCGTACTTCTGCTTGGGAATAAATCTCGTTGAACTCAGTGGGGCTAAGATCTGAGCAGGAATACACGGGATCATTTCCCATAAGAATTCAGAAAGAGTTTTGTCGGTGCTTTTTTTCTGGTGGGTTTCTTGTATTCCTAACAGCAGCCAGGAATCGCCTGTTCTTGGTCCTGTAGCCCTTCCAACTTTGACTATACCTTACCTCTGACTATACCTTTATTATAAAACGAGAGGAGAATATTGTTGATGTAACTCTGAGCATGTACATACTGTGCTTCCCTTGCCATTAACTACAAGTTTAGAAAGACTTTTAAGGGTAGATGGTTAGGCTCCCACACAAGCTTGAGGCCTGTCACCTCTCTGTTTAATTAATTAAATACTGCTCCCACTTTTCTTACTAGCAGGGCTATTTTTGGGCAGGAACACACAGGAACGGGTTCCGGCTGGCTCCTGAGTTGGCCACGCCCAGCAGGAACTTATTAACATAATAGGCCACACCCAACAGCAGAAACTCATTAGGATTGGCTACATTAGGGGTGTGTGGCCTAACATGCAAAGAAGTTCCTGCTAAAAAAAAAGCTCTGGATTTTGACAACAAACAAGGTAAACAGAATAAGAAGCAAAAGGTTGGTGTGGCTGGATGACCACACTTCTTGTAACTTGTGAGTGCGGCCTAATATGCTAATGAGTGGTGCTGTCAGGGGTGTGGCCTAATATGCTAATGAGTTTCTGCTATTGGGTGTGGCCTATTATGCTAATGAGTTCCTGCTGGGCTTTTTGTACAAAAAAAGCCCTGCTTACTAGCATTTAGTTCCATTCCATTTTGGGGGTTGATTCATATTATGTATTAGAATATGTATAGTTACAGAACAGGGAGGGAGGGAGATCATTTTTAAGACACATAGTTTATGGTGATTCCTTTGAACCTCTGGTAAACATTATGCTGGGAGTCTGTACCTTCCCACTTTCCATTCCAGGAGTTTGAACTGTCATGACCTCTCCTGTGGCTTTGAAAACTGTGGAAAAACTCTTCTCAAAGGGATTCTGAAACAGTCCTGCTTTGGTCATCAGATGTTACCCATCGTCTCTGGTCATAACCTAGATGAACACAAGTGTGTCCAACACCCTGAAGGCTATCAAAGGATGCAGATTCCTCCTTGGCCTGCAGCCTCTATACTCCTACTCAACTGCCAAGCCTGCCCAAGCTCTCGCCTTCGTTCCAGCCAGTCCTCCCCCAGAACCCCTGGAAGTTAAGAAGCTGCAAGACTTCATTTTTTCCTCCCAGAGGTTGTTTGTGATCACTGGAGCTGGAATTTCCACTGAGTCCGGAATCCCAGACTATCGCTCTGAAGGTGTGGGCCTTTATGCCCGGACAGATAGGCGGCCCATCCAGCATGCTGAGTTTCTCCGAAGCTCCCGTGCCCGCCAGCGGTACTGGGCCAGAAACTTTGCGGGCTGGCCACAGTTTTCTTCTTATCAGCCAAATGCGGCACACCTGGCTCTGAGGAAGTGGGAGCTGCTAGGGAAGCTGCACTGGCTGGTGACCCAGAATGTAGATGCCCTTCATGTGAAGGCTGGAAGTCAGCAGCTGACAGAGCTACATGGCAGCACGCACAGGTTTGTGGGATAAACAGAGTCTTGCTCCAGGGGGGGTGGTTAACTGTGGCATAGTGGTTCGGGTAGCATACTATGACCAGGGACACCGGAATCTGTGCTGTGAAGCTAACTTGGTGACCTTCAGGTCACGCATGCTGTTTCAGTGTAATCTACTCAACAGGGTTGCTGTGTCTTGTAGGAAGGACAGGATAAATCAAAATAAATGAACTTGCATTTTAGACATGTGACAAGTGCTGAGGAGTGGTTAAATATCTAAGCCCATGGTTCTTATCCTTTCATATGTTCTGTTCCACCAGTCACTCTATCAAAGAACCCTATTCCCACCATGATAGAAACAAAAAGCCTGCTTTTTCTGAGAAGGATATAACAGGCCTTCTGTTACTGTATTTATTTATTTATTTATTTTGTTTAAAGTAAGCTTTAAGGACTTTAAAAGTTGCAGAAGTGCAGTGGTTCATACCTGGAAGATAGGGCTGACAGGAAGTGGCACATCAAAGACATGATGGTGGGCAGGGGAAACGGTATTAGGAGAAACACCAAGTGCCCCACGTTACTAGGAACATGCCCAATGGTCAAGAGATGGAGAATCCATGGCAGCTAGCATCCGCCAGAGATGGTACATCACACTTGCAGGTGGACATGGGCACTGAGGGAGAGATAATTCTTAGTAAGTGTTATGAAAACCTTGCATCCCACCTAGTCTTATTTCTGTGTCCCACCTGTGGTACACATACCACCAGTTGAGAACCACTGATCTAGACAGTTCTTTTATTCTCTTTGTCATTCAGGGTGTTATGCCTCAGCTGTGGAGAGCAGATGCCCCGTGCTGAGCTGCAGGAACTCTTTGAAGCCTTGAACCCCACATGGAGAGCAGAAGCACATGGAGTAGCCCCTGATGGGGATGTCTTCTTGACAGAGGAGCAAGTGCAGAATTTCCATGTCCCCTCTTGCAATAAGTGTGGTGGCCACCTCAAGCCAGATCTGACGTTCTTCGGGGATACGGTCAGCAAGGAGAAAGTTGACTTTGTGTACCAGCGACTGGCAGAATCAGACTCTGTCCTTATGGTGGGATCGTCATTGCAGGTATGATGTAGTGGATTGCTGGCATATTGTAGTTGTTGGGGGGGGAAGTGTTACTTGAGAAACACAAGTTCATTGTGACATGGAGAACTGGTCATGCAGTTCTTTGGATCCTTGCCAAAGTTAGTTTGAGTAGGGGTTTTTTTCACATGTTCAACACATACAACAACCCTTGGAGGAAGGCAAGTATTTGTTACAGATAGGATGCTGGAGCTGAGAGCGAAAGAGAGAGAGAGACACCTATTTGTGACTTGGCTTCTTTTGAGAACCAGAGGGTTTGGGTTCTTATACTCTTTTTTTTAACGGTTTTATTTATAAGTTTTTAAGTTGTTAACAAGAAAATAGGCATATACAAAAAGTAAATATACATTAGAGTCTATTGTTTCGTTCTTTTTCTATCCACTCATACAGTCTCGACCACCTAGTCTCAAAAACCTTTTCATCCTTCCCGTATAGAATTACATTCAGCTTATCAATTTCTGCTACATTCATTAATTTATATATTATCTCTTCTCTTTGTGGTGTTTTATCCGATTTTCAATATTTTGCCC